AAGGTGTCTCTAGTAGAATTCTGGTAATGTACAGCACGGAAATCACCCTTAATAACAGCTGTCTTACCCGTTATCGTTAACTGTAATCAATCGTTAACAGGAAAAAATATAACAGAGTTCATTAATTGAATTCAGCGTCTTAAAATTCCTCAAAATGAAATAGTTCCATCGAAATTTCCATGAATCCGACGAATGATTACGCAAGTTAAAAAAAACTCCCGAATAGATGTATGGCATACAAGAGATTGTATCACGGCGAGATTATAGGAAGCAGTGTGTATTATTCCGAATCGTATGTAGTGGACACCTGAGCCAATGAAACTACCGCTACTGCCATCACCATTTAAACCGATAGTGAAGCTGCCTAGACCACAAACAACATTCTTCAAGGACTGAATACTGGAAACGACTTGTGAAGGCGATGAGAAACCATTTTTCGAAAGGGATGATATAACTTTGTTGACGATCTTAAATATGACGATAGTGCATAATGAGCATACCTATAGAATCAGTCAATCGATCAATCAGCAATCGAATATATCTTAAGGAACAGAAGAAAGTGTGAACTAATGAGAGAACATTGGTGGAATTTATCCGCTACATGTTGGTCTCAATAGGAGACCATTGCTGCAGTCACGCACTGATGTTGATCGCACAACTTATTACGGAGAACAATCGGAAGACTGAAGTCCACCAGCATGAATCGTCGGAAATCAGAGAATGCAACTTACATTCGCTTTTGCTTGATTCGCACTCTCCAACATATCGTTAACAATTTTGAAAACTTGTTTACTTGTTAAATTGCCCATTTGAATCGCACCTGACAGTATCCTTCTCATTGCATGCACCAACGCTGTTTCCTGAATTAAATCATATTAGACCAACGATTACTCTCCATTAAACATCATTATTGTCGCCAGCAGCGCAAAAGCTTCGAAAAACTGCCTGAATAAGAAGGACCGTGAACTGGCAATACTCGGCTCGATGCCGGCTTTGTGGTTGCTTGCAAAACTGCCCGAGTTAAAACCTACACTGACCCTTAAAATGGAATAGAGCGCTGGACAACTCTGCAATTCCGACGAATACTATTCAGCACAAATGAAGTATGGCTACCATATGAGCACAAAATCCTTCAGCTAGCTGATTAGGAATGGTCCACTGAACTGTTCAGTCCTCACTGCAGTTCTCATTTCCCGAATCGCTCTATCAGCCAAACAATCTACGTTATCACCCAAATATTTCCAAAATTAAAAACCGGCTTGGTAACAAATGGTTCACTTTTATGCATGTGCCAAATGCAGATCGGTCTTTCGTTCTAGTGCCCATACGATGTTGTCAAAATGATAGAATCGAATTAGAGTGTGAAATAGTTTCAGTGTAGTATTGTCGCATTCCAAATTCAGCATAACTTATTTCATAATTGAAAAATGACAGCTTTCAAGAATCAGGTTGCCAACACACATTCATGTTTCCGAGCGCTTCAAGTTGGCGCCGAATTTGTGAGGATATGTTGAGTTTTCCGAGGTTTTCATTTCTGAATTTTGAAATGATTTCATTAGCATATTTTCGGTTGTTCAGAAGGCTGATTATTCTATTGATCGCACTCGAATTCAATCTATCGCCGATTCCAGCTTTTGTTCCATTCAATAACCCACCAATCGATGCCTACAAATTCATTCGATGGTTCGCTATCACTTTTCCGCAAAAAAGTATGCTCAAATGTGCAGTTCAGGTTGACGAATTTTTGTATGGCGAAGTGAAACTCAAAAAAGTGCACGCTCAACTTCAAAAAAAAAAACGGTTTCCAGAAAAAAACTTCCAGAACTACAGAGACTCATCTGGACTTTGTGGTGGCCGATCTAGATTCGCGATGATTAAGTCGTGGCTAAAGATCAAACTATGACACCAACACAAATCACACTAACTAACATTCGGTGGAGGACCAATTCCTTGAATGTAACCAACAGTAATGAAGCCAGTTTGTGCACCCAATCTATCAGTGATTTTAACCAGAATCTCGAATTGGCCGTCAGCAACAGTAAATTTAAGAGTGCCGTTATTGCTAGTCGCAATCAACGTCGGGATTTGAGTGCCGTTGACCATTTCTAAATGAAGACAATTCTCACTCAGAAGTAATGGCTGAATGACCTATGTGCTGCCACAGTCCTTGTCCACGCTTTTCAAGTGAACGTCTCAGTAAAATTGAAATGAGCAAAGAGAGAATATATCCAGGAAGTGAAATGCGGTGGGAATATTCATATTTTGTCTTCACCGCCACAGTAGATGTTCAACTTGATAAAATCAGTCGGAGGTATCAGATAGAGGCATAAGGAATGGTATGCATAACCATAAAATGTATAATTTGCAACGCCATCTTTATCGATCCAACCGATACACTGAGCAGTTGCTTCTTCAAATCCAGTCACCACCGATGGCTTCACACCACACATTCCACCACGAGGTGGATGGTTATTCTATAATACTTGAATGAAGAATCGATGGAAGCATATTTGAAGTTTTCATCATGACTGAAGCAATTTCTTGGTTTCAAATGGTAGAATCAATATATCTCATAGAATATCGCACGACCGAAATTTAAAAAAATTGCATTTCCGAGAGAAACGCCAAAGTTTAAGTTGATCTGGCATGATCAGCTGATAATAACTAAAAAAGCGCACCATTAGGGAAATAGTTCAAAACAAAAATCAACAGGATACAATCTAATAAGCAGTGAGATAAATCATTCTATCATATGTACTCTACAATTGATCATTCGACTGTCGAACTTTTTGACTAATCCTCAACGAGGATAACAATACGATGTGACACAACAATCGGTCTTGTTCGATGTGAAACAATTAAATCAACCTTAATACGGTAATGATGTTCAATCGTCCCTTGGCTTATTCCATTATCAACACTTACGATTG